TATGGAGTGGGAGGAAGACTATCATTTCCATCTAGAATATGTTGCATTTGAGATGCTTGTCACATGTGTAGGTATCTCTGTCTAGCAGTTTTGTGTATGCTTCTCAGGGACTCTTGATGCAAATTACAAAATTATATTTTGAATCCTGAGATAGAGCAACGGTTAAAAACATAAGAAAACAGGGCCTCCCTGGTGGCGCAGGGGGTTGAGCACCGCACTGTGAAGCAATCCACAGCCTCTGCAGCACGAGTTCAATCCCCAGCTGGCCAGGGAGAAACCCACATGGTGCAGCAGACCTCTCCTGTCTCCCTGCTGCTCCCCTCAGCAGTGTATTCCAGTCAGTCTGCCTGTTTTGTTCCCCACTCTGTCTCTGGTGAATCCTCTCACCCCCCCCCCAATCTCTGGCCTGTACCTCAGCTCTTGTATGCATAAATGAATAAATCTTAAAAAAATACTTAAGAAAACATAAAAATTTCATATGAAGAAAATACATATGAAGAGATTCTGAAAACAGAATTTTGTAGATTGACAGGAGGAAAAGTAAAGGGAAATCTTAAGTAAAAGAGATTGGACAAATACTCAGAGAACAGAAGGAGAAGTCAGAGAAAATCATAGTATGAAAGGCAGAGAAGAGGCAAAGGAGACTGAGTGGAAGGGAGGGAGAGCTGTTGGCTGTGACCTATTCGTCCTTTCATGAGAACTGAACACCAGGGAAGCAAAAGAAGGCAGATGGAAGGTGGGTGGGCTGGTCTAATCTCCTCGTCAGCTGGTCCTCTGATATTTACCACAGGAAGAGAACAATCTCTGCAACACTCTTCATTAGCAGGATGTCAGTGGCTAAGGGTAAACTACACGAAACCTAACTTCTTATCTATAAGGAATTTCTCCCTAAAAAGCGTAAGAGCACATAATCTATGCAACTCTTAACTAAAATAGATATTCATGATTTCAATAATCTCACTCTGTTAAGTGATGAGATACCTTATTAGGAGACATGTATTATTCCAACCAGAGGTGCAGGACCAATGTAGAAAGACTGAACCCCGAGGTGTCCAAGACCTCCCACCCTGCTTCAGCTGAGAGTTGGCGTTATTGGTAGACATCAGCAATCAATACAATCTCTAATTTGATTAATGTGATTGACAAGGAGATCCTACGTACCCGTGCACAGTCAACACTACTAAATGCTTGGTAGAAGCCAGAGAAATAATGCTTAAAAATATCAGTTGAATTTATTTTTTAAAATATGTTCAAGTATTCATGGGCCACCACTGGTGACCTGTGATGTGGCAAGATTTTAGTTCACTGGGGATGAAATTTTGAATGTAGAGGCATCTGTCCCAGCATCATCCACTTAAAATGTTATTTTTCTCTGGAAAAATATTTAGAGAATGGCTTTTCTCCCTCTGCCTTTCTTCTTTCCTTCCTATTTTAATGAGGGAAGTAGTGAGAACATAAGGTCCAGGTGAGATAGTCAGGGATCCTTCCATGTATAGCAAGAGGGACATCTTCCCCTCTGACACCAGCTGGAAGTTGGCAGAGATCAAGAAGGAATCGGGAGACTTTGGGGCCTGCCAAGAATGGGGGATGGATGTCATAGCCAGTGGTTGCAGACAAGCTGGTGACAAAGAATGATTATAATGGTGTTAAACTTGGGATATGAGAAAAAGATGCAACGGCCGGAATTGTAGGTGAGCAAACATACAAAGCTAAATGATTAAAAAGAAGTCATGTGTGTCATCCTGTTACAGGGCAGGGAGAGGGGCAGCCCAGACCCCGCAAACCTGCCTGTTCTAAATGGGTTCTGCCATGCGCTGCATCAACACAAAACATAGGAGACTTTAATGGGAAGGAACTTTAATACAATTAGGAAACAAGACAGGAAAGGCAAAGAATCTAGTTTCTAAATCAAGCACCCAAAGTTCCCCGTCCCCTCGTGGGTAAAAGTCCATCCATATGGGATTGGCCCAGAACAAGGCCCCAAAGCCTGCCACAAGTCTAAAGCATCTTCCAGTGGGGACCCTCAGAAAAGGGTCAGAAACAACCAGACAAGCCCGGAAGGAAAAGAGCAAAATCAGAATCAAGATAAAAGCTGCCATTGTCACCTCCCCACGGGTCTCACCCCCATCTGTGTCACCCCGTCCACGACCAAAAGACAAGCGCAGTTTCTTCACGTGTCTCTAGGCTCCACGCGCCTCCTCCAGGTCTCCTGGCTCCATCCTGCTTCCTTCCTCCGTCTCTTCTGCAGCTTCTCCTCTCCCTGCTCAGCTCCACCCTCTCTTGGGTGGGGCAGGGAACCTCCCCCTTTCCTGGGGACCCTCCTGTTACAATCCAAAATATATTTACATGATTGGATTTCATGACATGCAGGCATTGTGTATACCAGAATGTTCTCTCACCGGCTGCTGTGAGATGCCCCGATGAAATCCAAGGTAAAAAGTCCTCTCCCTTGAACTACTTTACTCAATTCAACCCAACCTCAAATATTTACTTACAATTTGAAAACTCAACAAGTTAATTTTCTGTCTCTAAACTTGTGGCTGGTCAATTCCCCTGGGGTCTTTCCAAAGACTTGTTTTCAACAACTACTGTCCTTTGTTGTCCTGTGACTGACTTAAGCATCTAAGAAAATATTTTATTCATCTGCCTCTGTCTGCCCCATCCTGGAAGCTAGGTCATGGGGTTTCCTTTTTTTATTCTTTCTTATCTTAACTTCAAAAAGTGGCATTTTACATTTTATAAAAAAACAGAAAGAACAAAAGTCTATCCGTTTGCTACATTTCACAACACACAGTCCCTTCTCCCCACGAAAATTTCCTCTCGTGCTTTCTCCACCACCACGATTTTAGAGCAGACCATCGAGAGCTAGAAGAGCAGGCAGGCTCTTCATAAGGAGAACTAGAACAGCGCCCCAGTACGTTGGGGACACAGACATCACCCCCAGTCAGCACTCGTGGTGCCACATCTGCATCTGTCGAGCATTTATTTATAAATTTACTGTAGAACAGCATATAAAATAGATCTTAATGTAACTACAAAGTAAGCTTCTAATGCCTTCATTAAAAAGCAGAGAGAATATTCAGGAGCACCTCACCCAAGGACAGTCATCAGGCCAAAGCCAAAGACACTGGGAACTCCACATCCCATCCCCACCCAAGGGAAGGTGGCTGGGACCTGAGGGTGGGGTTCAGCAGCCAGGTTGGTATAAAGCCAGACACATGGGCTTTGGGGGGGGGTCCCCCATTTTGGCTCTCCACCAGCTCGCAGCGTCTGGCCAGCTCTGAGAATGCCTTTGGGTTTCCAGGTCGGCAGATCGGGTAGGACGCATTAAAGACTTTATTTCCCTATTTTCTCCCTGAGTTGTCCATTTTCCTTATTTCCTTTTCCCTTGTCAATAAACCTTTTATTAACCTTTTGTGTGTGCCTGCAGTGGAGTATTCATAAGTCCCTTTTAAGCGCGCGGGTGAGGACCCACAGCCAGGCACCCCGTTTTATATCCGGATTGCTCTGTAACACAACCACTGGCGACATTTCCTGTCCTACAGTCTTGGCAGAATTTTCTCCACCTTTATTCTGAGACAGGATAAAGCATGCTTGCTAAGTAAGCTTAACCAGAAATCACAGGGCAGAATAAGCTCAAATATAAAGCCAGACCCCAGCCACTACCTTGATGTATCAACCTGACTCCTCCTCCTTTCTCTCTCGGAAGATGCTTTCAGTTAAACCTTGCCTTCCTTCTAAGCTCTCAGTCTCTGTAGATTATTCCACAGCCACTGCCAAGATGACCCTGCCTCCCCATCACATCAGTAATTCAAAAGGGTATTGAGTAAAAATTAAAATAAGGGGCAACCTCTTTGTTCTCAAGAAGATAAATTAAGCCCTGGTCTTTCAAATGACAAGACGAAGGTCATTGTAAATGTATACTGGAAGAGTTCTTATATATTTGAATTTCACTGGGTAGCAAAAGTGTGGTAATCAGGTTAGCAACATTTACTTTTTCTAGTATGCATGCAAAAAATAAAAATAAAAAACTCTTGATTTTACCACCCAAAGTTGACTCTTTGATCGCTCTCATTTCATGGAAGGAAAGACATTTCAGTAGTAGAAATCAGAATAGAAATAATCCAAACCCTTAAAATTCTTAATAATAAACACATTTAGCCATAGGAAAATTTTGACTGAATTAGCCTTGCTTTATTTCATTTTGACATGGGCCAATAAACCTCATTATGGGAAGACACTGTTCTGGAGATCAGCACTTAGAAACAGCTAAATTAGATTTGGTTGCAAAATGAACCACACAGACCAAGAATAGACAGCAAACCGTGCCCAGTGCTGACCTGAGGTTGCGAAGACTTAAATTGGAAGGTCTGAGACATCGTAATAATGTGTTTACTCCCCATTAAAGTTTCTCGTACATACCCAGGCAAAAAGTTGTCTCTCAGATCAAGCAAGAGCTGGAGACACAGGTGACTGCAGAGACACTGGATCAGCTGTTAAAGGTCTAAATCAAAACAAGATCCTGAGGACATAACCTGTTTGATAACCCCTTGTCTATAAATCAAGATTACCTCTATTCATTGCTAGTTAATATACTAAAAGATAACACTGCACTTTCTACGGGACTGTAGACTGTTTCTCATTAACATCAGTGAAATGAGATCAGTCCAAATATAAGATGAAAAACAGGAAGACAATAAGAAAGCAAGTGTTAGAAGAATTTATCTCAGTACAGGATTTATTGGTCAAAATTGCCTGTGGGTAAGGAATTCTAGAGAATTCTCTACCATGTTCTTGTTCTATCCATTGCTCTGCACATCACATTCTGTGATTCCAAATTCTGATATACGCTGCCTGTATTTCAGAAGCCTTGCTTCTTTAGATGTGTTCAGAATTTATCTTCTAGTTCATTAATTTAACTTTATGTTTGATTTCCCATTTAATTTATTCTCCTGGTTCCATCAGCAACTGGGACTTTCAGTAGTTAGAAAGGCAAGTACTGAATGTATTGTATGTGTATGAGGCATACAAAGTGCCAAATCCCATTTTTACCTGTGAGTATCATAGAACCCCTTGTGGCAAGGCCAGAACTGGGTCAAGAACCAGAATGTTGAGGTTAGATAAGAAAGAAATCCTGACTTCATGCTGATGTGTTTGGATTTTGTCCAGTAATGAGTCAACAGGGAGTGTTATGATAAACTTAATTTAATACAGCAACCTTGGTGACAAGATAGGTGATAAATTAGAAGGGATTAAGGCAGAGTAGAGTCAGAAAAATAGTACAGCCTTTTAGGTAATGGATTCTGAGGGGCAGAGGTAGGAAAACTTCTCTGGGATAGAGAGGAAGAGGGGATTACAGAGACATGTTGAGGAAGAATTGATTTACTATGGTAAGTAATGTACACAGTTAAGGGAGAACTATGGGCTAAATGCAGCAACAACGGGGCCTTCATTGTGGAGACAGCCAGACAGAAACCATGCTGGAAGAAATTAGGAGAAAGTTAGACAGAAAACATCATGTTAGGGACAGATAAGATGTCTGTGGGAGATCAGTCTATTCTGAGCTATTTCCCTTTAAAAAATAAACACCTCGTCATTGTACTTACCAGGAAGCCACTGATCATCTTTCCATTGTTCTCAGAGTAAAGTTCGACTGCTTGATATGTCCTCACACAGCTTCTAAAATATGGCTCTCCATCCTCACCTCTCTGTGAGCTCTGGCTGGCTGTCTTTATGACTGTCCTTTAACTTGACCTAAATTCCGTGCTTCCCCAAACATACCTTGTAGTTTATTTCATTTCCCCTTTTGCAGAATTGTTTCTTGTGCATGAAAAGTACTCACTTCAGGTAATGTGAACCCTTATGTGTCAAGACTCACCCTGGCACAGTCTCTCTGTCTCTTTGAAGCTTCTTTGTTCTCCTGAGCATCCACCTTCAAGATCAAGTTCACTTTTACATGCCTTGGATGTATTTTCCAAGAGTTATCTCATAATAGATTTCATAGAATTCAATGCATAGATGTTTGTTTCCCCAAATAAAAGGAAGAAACTGCATTATATTTAGTTTTCTAGTTCAGTAGCCCTTGTAACTAGGACCTATTAAACTTTTCAGACCCATGAATGAGTGAATGAATGAATGAATGAATGAAGGAGTAACTGAACACTAAGTTGATTCAAACTTGGCCATGAGGTAGTTGAATCACAAATTTCATGCCCTGAAAACAGGTCATTCTTTGAGAGTGAGATCTGGGTAGCCCACATAGGGAAAAGAGCACTTCAAATGGGAAAAGAGTCATTAAGGATTTCAAATGTTGAGCAGAGATTTGAGGATGAACACCAAGAAGAGGAAGAATTTGTAATGAAAGAAACAAATAAGTACACAAATCATTGTTGGACAATGGTAAGTAGTGTGAGTACTGCTCAGGGCAGTTCTGCAGCAAAATCCAAAATTTATCTATCTATCTATCTATCTATCTATCTATCTATCTATCTTTTTATCTATCAGTTTTCTATCAACTATCCTATCCATCCATCCACCCATCCATCCACCCATCTAGCCTGCCACTTATCGTCTAGCTGTCTAGCTAATTTAATTCTGTATTGAGAATGAGTGCTCTTTTTTTTTAATAAATTTTATTTTTATATTCCCCAATTGCAACCCCCTTATTTGAGAATGAGTGCTCTTTTACAACTAAGGTACAAACAAGAGAAGATAACCTGATTTTATGCAACCTATGATGTCAGACTACACATACTGTCTCCTGAGATGAAAATATGTAGGTATAAATGCATATGTTAAATTCAATTAATGTGTTTATGAAAGACATAACACGTACCATCCCCTCCCTCAATTTTTGCTCTATATTTTCATATAGGGCAGTTTAGAACTACTTGAACATGGATGTACTTTGCTATTCAACATGTAAGAAATATTGAAATACTTCAATCAGATGTTCACAAAATTTTTTTCAAAAAAATGTTCTAGTTCATTTACTTATGGTTTAAATTTTGAACTGATCAACCTATGCAATGAGGTTGATTTTTCATATAATGCTATTTTTTAATATAAAGATTAATTTTTCATATAATGCTATTTTTTTACTTAGAGCCAAAACTAAGACATATTCTTTGGATATCAAAGATGAAATAAATATTTACATGTATGAAGTAAATATTTACATGCGATAACCACATTTTAAACGTCTACATTAAGTATGAAATTAGTGAAGAATTAAATTTAATTCATTTGTTCATTCACCTATTTAATTATATACTTCTTTAAATATGTATTGATTGCAAAAGAATATCCTCAATCTAAGATGACAGAGAGGCATCAGATTATAAATTACCTTTTCTCATAATTAATTGCATGTGTAATATAAAGTGTCAATGTTGTAATATAGTGAAATGGTGTACCCAACAGCTGACTATTTTATGAATCAGGTTAGATACCTACTATTCATTGCCACAAGAAAAGAACTTCAAGAGCTTCCAAAATAGGTCAGATCCTAATGATGGGATTAAACTTTTCAACTGAGAATAATTAGGTTTTATTTTCAGTGTTCACTGACCTAACCTGAAATTTAATGTAATACAGGAATAGTTGAGTTACATTTGGCCTTATTTAGCAGCAATTGTTCACTCTGCGAACTATTAAAATGGTTACCATCTCTGAAACTTCTGCTGACATGTGCATTGGCAATTCTTTGACACAACTTAAGAATCTAAAGTGATCAGTGGCCAAAAAAAAAAAGGTTACTGTCATTTTCTCCAAAGCAAGATTTGACTATCGAATCATTTTAGCATCAGTGTCACTGGGGAGAAATGCAGAAGTCCTGAAGTCACTCTTTCTGTGGAAAAAAAACAACAACATCAACACTTTTCCTATTATCATGGTAGTGTGGAATGTGATAGCACTGTGATTTCAAGTTTAATAGCCAGTGCAATGCTAAGAAAAAAAAAGCCACTTTTTTAAGCCTGATTTTATTTTATCTCGTGAGTCAAGAAACAACATCTCTTAACTCAAAGGATAGTTATCACTTGTATCAGGATGAGTTACCTGCAGTCTGGGATATAAGGTCTGACCCTCTGATAGCCTTTTCCACAAATAAACTTAAATATTTCACTCGCCACAATGGTCCCTGCAGCAGGCAATGCGCCATCTGCTTTCATTGTGAATTTGTTTTCAGAGGTGTGAGGACATCTGCTTCCCTGTGTCAGCCCCCGTTACCAGGCTCCAAGCACACGCACGAGTTGTGGCCCAGCAGGCAGCTGCCACCTTGAGCCGATGCAGATGGGGGACTGCGTGCCTGTGCTCCCACACCTCAGGCAGGATCCCAGAGAAGATCTCTTATCTCTATCTCTGTGTGTGTGTGCAACGTACACATTTTCACACACGCAGCTGTGTCTGAACATCTCCACATACTATAAGCATATATATGTATGCTTATCTATGCACATATGTATACATATGAGTAATCATTGGCCTTTACAAACAAAAATAAGAACAATATCTAAGATAACTTGGCAGGCAGAGAAGTTAACTAAGGTTTTAATATGGTAATATAAATCCTATAATTTATTATGGGATATGTTGGACTAGAGTTTGACTCCTTATGTGGGTGGAATCAGACACTATATAATTAAGCATGAATGCATTTGTATGTTTCCGTATACTTGTACAGATGCTGTGTTCCTTGCTTTTGTTTTAAGGAAGGGGTGAGCTGTGTGTTTGTGCCATAAATACAAATGTGTTTATAGGTGTGACTGACCAAGAAATAACCATCACCTCTTTGATAAATGTTGAATTAGATATTTGAGATAACAGTGGAATCTTTATAACTCCCCTCTCTACTCAAGTTAAAATGTACACCTCACTAAAGCATTATCGAAGGTCTTAAAGTCCTTCTAATGTGCTAAACCAGCTAAGTTACTTTTTTTTTTAGATTTATTTATTCATGCACACAAGAATCGGGGCACAGGCCAGATGTGAGGGAGGATAAGAGGATTTGCCAGAGACAGAGCGGGAGCAGAACAGGCAGACGGACGGAAAGCACTGCTGAGGGGAGCAGTGGGTGAGACAGGACAGATCTGCCCCACCATGTGGGTATCTCCAGTGTGGGCCGGAATGGAGCCGAGCTGCAGAGGCTGCGGACAGCTTCACAGTGCTGTGCTCAACCGCCTGCACCACCTGTGAGGCCCTAAGTTACTTTTGATTTAACTTTTTGCTTTGATGGATATATTTAGTCTGTTACAAGATCAATTATTTTCCCCCTGGAATTCTGCAGTCCCTAGATTAAACAACATGGCATAATGGAATATATGAAAAGGGTTTCTCTCCTTTCTACCCACTAGAGCTCAAGATTAAACAACATTTTTATTCTAACTCTCCCTTGCTCCCCCTAAATAAAGTGTTTGCCTTTAATATTTTATCTAATACAAACTCTTAAAGTTTCATGTTTTCTATTGACTATTGCTCAAGTGATATTTAAGTATTTTCTGTTGTGACAATTTTGTGCTCTTAATCCTGGGAGATCAGTGTGCATGCTATCGCTCTGTAATTAGAGATTTACATGCAATGTGCCTCTTCATCAAACGATGTCAAATTATATATTTATTTTCAGGATGCAGGTCATTTATCCATATTGAATGACCTCCTTGGTGAGTGTTCATACTTGGCCATGGCTCATATGTTAAGTACTACCTTGTGACAAGCCACTTTACAATCTCTCCTAAGGCATTAGAATTTTATACATTTTATTGTAGAAGTAACATTTACTTAAAAGTTTAAAATAGTCAATAGCAACTTGCTATTTTAGGAATGTTTTATTTTTTGATATTATTGCTCAGAACTTAGCATGTTTGAAAAACCAGGGTATGGGTCCATAGCCTCTCTTTATTAAATAATGTTACTATAAACATTTTTGAATTATTCTATAGTGAAAATTTATCCTTATACAGATTGTGACCAAAAATAATTATGTAGTACTTGTAATTTAACTGTATATGATCTCATTGTCTTAGCAAATGTATGATTTTGTATTATTGGCTCCAATTTATACACAAGAAAAAAATTAAGCTCCTGTTATTAAGGGGATCTGCCAAGGATTTCACCCAATAGCTCATGCACAACACAAGTTTTTCAGATTCTTCACAGATGAAATTTACTCGTAGTTCTTATCGCTGTGTACATTTCATGTCTCCTCAAAGAGATTTATTAACATTTAGTCAGGTTTTCTTTTTGTTTTTGTATTTGGTTCTTGGCTACTGAATAATGACATTCTGTATCTTGCTTGTTTTTGAAAGGAACTGTTATGGCTCATAATATGTGTCACATCCACAGTAATAAGGACATTTGTGTTCTCTTATCTAGCTTGTAAACTTCATCCTCCGTTTTGTCTCTCCAGTAAAATAAAAATAATTAAAGCTAATTCATTTTGGGGAAGTATTTGAATAAGACATTGTCCCAAAACATATTCAGTGAATGAAATGTAAGAGATATTCCATAAATGTGAACAATTATAAAATAACAATAGCATTTCATTTGTCAATTGACATTGCCAATGATAATTATTATGGAAAACCAACAAACACAAATGAAATATAAACCCTAAACACTGATTAATACTTTTCAAATACTCTAATTAAATGGCAAAAGAAAACCTTCTTTCCTTCCTTTCTTCATCCCTTCCCCTCTACAAACTTTTGTTAATCTCTTCTCTCTCTCTTTTCTCTAGCTTCTTCATCTTTTTCATTTATGAATTATTCAGGGCATCAGATATTTGTTTTCAAGATTTCAATTTGCATAAATTTTGTGGCTATTCATATTTTTGTAATTTCAGAATGCTTTTCCTTATATGGTATATACCTTGTGGGGAGGGGAGATTAAATATTTGATTATCTTACCAACCATGAACAAAGATCTGTAAGTATCAGCTCAGGAAGACTTCACAATGATCATGTCTTATTGTCCCATTATTTTGCAGATCAGGGAAATGTACGGGGCAGGCTCAATGCTGGCTTAGGACACAGTCCCCTCTGACCTCACAGTCTTTATCTTCTTCCTTTCAGAACTTCAGATGGAATCTCCGATAAGGCTGTTATTAGTTCCTACAGTCACAGACTTGAAGAAAGTTTGCATTTTATTCTTAAGGAAATTGAAATTTTAAAGATGACATGTATAATGGAAATTTTACCAGATAAACAATGAAAAAACTAGCACAATTTCTTCTCTTTAAATTTTGAGGTGATAAATTATAAAAATCTAGAGCTGTTCCATGTTATTGCCAAAAATGTAAACTACCTATGCATTAGTTTGTATAATGCCTTGCTGCATACAGATGCTTTTTTAGCTACAGTGCTTAATAATGTGTAAAATGTTATGTCTATCCCTTGGTAGTTAATAATAAGTAATTTGTTTAAAAACATGCTGTTCTCCAGTAGCCATTATTATAAATTTAATCATGCAGATCAGATGTTGAGAAACTTTTTCATCTTCGAAGAGCATGGTAAAAATAATAGCAAAAAATAAAATAGCAAAATATCAAGAGGAAAATATAGACTCATGAACAATTGCATTACAAACTGAAAGTGTCAATAACTCACTTTGTGATGTTCATGCATCAGAGTACACAGAACTGTGTGATTTTGCATACTCATATCAATTAGTCTGTACTGTTTCTGAGAACAAATACTTATTTACAAGTATGTATCATTTTTAATGAACAGTCAAGGAAAATTGAAGATGCTGATTAGCTAATTATGGGAATTTTTATACAGGGATTCAGTAATGAAAATATAGACTGCATATCCTATAGTTTGCCTCCACCTGTCCATCTCTTCTAAAATATCTTACTAAAATCACTGAAATTCCAGGCTTTATAACCACAGGTAATTGGGGATGGTAGACAGTTCATTCTTTGGAGTTAAATAGCTCTATGAATGGAATCTTTCCCAAGTATTACATTTCATCTATTGCAGAAACATATTTTCCCCACTATTTCAACTCCAACATCAAGACACATCTAGGAACTGATGGCATTTTTCCATCTCTGCCAGCAAATGTCACCCATTGGAGGAAAGACTGCAATTTCTTTCTTTTTTTTTTTGCAAATCCAAAGTACTTTTTGTATTGAAAACATAAAAAAAAAATCAGATCACAGTGCATTGTATTTTATAATATATACGTGCAAAGTCATTGCTTATCACCTGCAAACAATATAAAGAAGAAAAATATGGCATCTTCCCTAAAATATTCAATACATTTTAAAGTTTCCAAGGTCTAATGTGACCAATGTATATGCTGTGAAAATTATTCTTAAGCATGTGCTATAGCTATGAGCACATTTTTTCTCCTTTCTGATTGGTACATAAAATAATAGTGTGCTTAATAATCTATAACCTCTCAGATTAAGAAAAAATCTATTGTATCGATAGTGAAGCCTGCAGTTCCATTATTTGGGTATTTAAATCCTTTGTTCAAATGCACCTTAGAGAGATAATGTGACTTTTATTAGAAAATGCTTCCCTAGATTGATATAAAGACATCCATAAGCAAAGCTCTCCAATCAGCACATATAGGTAATGCTTGCTTAGAACATTAGGAGGAAGAGGCATAATAACAAGAGGAAATGCAGATGTCACTATGAAAAAAAAAAAAGATGTATACAATTCTAACTAGTGCCTGATCTGAACTAAAATAAGACATTTAAGCCACGAGCAAGCAAACTGATGTCAAATATTTACTTTACTGATGTGAATTTATTAATTGATGAATCTTGCCTTTTATCCACAATTTTAAAGATGAAAAAAATGAAACAAAATAATAATTTATAGTCTTATTTTAAAAAGTTTGATACATAGAAAACAATATTTCATGAAGAATTAAGGCGATGAAAACATTTTCCTCATCCAGAGGTTTCTAAACCATTCTAACTTAATGATTCCATTCATGGATTTTTTTTTTTTTTTCATCAGCTCTTGCCAGTATGTAAATTACTCTACAAGAGTTAGGTAATTGAAGAGGCTAAGTAAATCTTCCAGGAAACTATGATACTGTTTAATAAATTATTCCAGCCAGAGTAGTAACATGATTAATATACTTCCCATATTGTTCTGCTTTTTTTCAGAAAATCTAAATGAACGTGGAAGAACATTCAAAAGGAAAAAACATAATTGGGTTGGCTATCCCATTAAGGATTTCATTAAGATCAAACGGTCCCTTGTCATCCATCTTCACCTGGGGAGGTGATCGTGTGCCCCCTAGCCTGCTCATCCATCCTCCTTATAGAGAACAGGTTACCCCTGAACCCCCAGCAGGAGGGTGGGGGCTCCGGAACCCTCCCATTCTGTTGAGTGGACACATGGATCACTACACTTTTGGGGCAGTACCATTTGCACACAGGTTTAGCTCGTTTTTGTTTGCCGACAAACAACCCATTCCTCAAAGTCAACTCACTTCATAGACTGCTCACAGCTATTCATATAAAAGCTTTTGCCAGACAGAGATGTCTGTGTTTCCTCTCTGATAGCCCAGCCTTCTGACTCCTCTTCAGGAGGGAGGGCAGCTCCAGATAAAAGCACAAAGATAAGGCATTCCAGAGCATTCCCTCCCCTTGTGGGAAATGTTTATTTTCAGGTAGTGACAAATTTGACGATATATATTCATAAACGCAATGTTGGCATCTTTCATCAAAAAGACCTTTAGTTTTAAACCCAGAACATAGGGATTAGCTGATAGCCCCTTTGTATCCCCATTTATATTACTTCTGCAGCCTTTTATTTAATCGGGTGAGCGGTTACTGTTCCCAGGGCTCCCTTACCACCCACACATACTTGCTGACACACCACACTGACAGGGAAACACTCTTGAAGAGCTGAGGGCGGGAGTGAACTCCGCATGCCCTCACCACTGTGTGGACTCAAGTAAAGATGCATCATCGCAAGCAAACGCACCCGTCAGGTGCTGGGAGTGAAACAGAGCAATGCTCAGCTAAACTTGTGCACCCCAACTGCCTCTTGCCCTCATGGGCACAAAGAAGAGACTCTGCTTGTGGATAAACAGCTGCGTTCCAGGAGTTGATTTTATAACACATTGCCCTGAACGTGACCTTCTTCCTAGGGAGGGAATGTCGACGATGTGGTTGGCTACTGAGGCTACTTCACACAAATTCATAAAAGCAGATCTAAGGCACGATGAACGCAAGTGTGGGTGCCAGTCTGGAGAGTAATGAGCTCCTCGCCCTGATCAATAGTGTTTCTGTGGGAAGTTCCCTGAAGCTTTCTAAGCAGTGAGGTCCCAAGCACATGCAATCCCACAAGGAGACACAGGCAGCTCCCTCCTCTCTTCTGTTCCACTCTGAGGAGGGGAAAAGGCCCCAGCAGCAGGATGGACAGGACAGTTATTGTGGAATGAGTCAGCAACTCCAGGAGGAAGAGCATCTCCACCAAAGCTGAAGATCAGAACTGGTCTTTCCAGAAGGTTACTGAAAAGTCACAGGACCTTTTTTGAAATAAAATTTGTTGGTCTCCTGAGCACTGACTTTCTTAATATCACATTTGTGTGACAGATCACCAACACTTTTTCCATCCCCTCACCACGGGTAGCTACTGACAACATGTCTCTAGCTTTTCACGTGTGCTCCTGCCTTCCAGGGTCCTCCATCTTTGAAAATGTGCTGAGTCATATTGGTGGTGGTAGCTGCTGTGGATTCCATTAAGGAGTAAACCTTTCTCCCTGAGCATAGTTTTATTTTGACTGTGAAAAAATGAGGAGCAAAATATGATTTTTCTTATGTCAACAGAATATCAGACGAACAAGGACTGAATGTTTGTGTCCACCCACAGCTCCTAATTCCCAAGCTGATGGTACTAGGAGGTGATTAGTTAACTACCACTGAGAAGTGATTAGGTCAGGAGGGTGGAACCCTTAACAACAGGATTAGTGCCCTTAAAAGGAGCCCCACTCCATTTCCACCACCTAAGGACACAACTAGAAATGTATGAACCAAGAAGTGGGTCCTCCCCAGACACCAGATTAGTCAGTACCTCGGTCTTACAATTACAACTTACAGGATTATGATGAATTTCTGTTTCTTTAAGTCACCTAGTCTACGGCATTTATTTAATAGCAACCCAAACATACTAAGACATACTACAATTACTTCTAGTAACTTTTAATGAATTATTTAAAAATAAAGTACCATTATTTACATTCTTATTAATTTTTGACAGTATATCATTTCTCCCATTACCTCTGGTTATCTTAAGAACCTTGGTAGACTTAGTCATTTTTTAAGTAACATTAAGAAAAGAGCATCTGGGCCTCCCCAGTGGCGCAGCGGGTTGAGCGCAGTGCTGTGAAGCTGTCAGCAGCCTCTGCAGCGTGGGTTCAATCCCAGCCGGCCAGGGAGCTACCCACATGGAGCGGTAGACCTCTCCTGCCTCGCTTGCTGCTCCCCTCAGCAGTGTATTTTGGTTCTTCTGCCTGTTCTGCTCCCCACTCTGTCTCTGATGAATCCTCTCACCCTCCTGCACCTCTGGCCTCTACCCCAGCTCTTGTATAAAAATAAATTAACCTTTAAAAAAAAAAAAGAATAGAGCATCTGTTTCAGAAAGAGATTAGAGATTCTGAGGTAAGGAGAGTCCTGAGTAAGGGTTGAAATTACTGAGGAACATTAAAGAAAGGAACTTTTTCTTCCTCTATAAGGCATAGAGCACAATAGCATGAACAGCTTCACACAAATTGAAAAGCACTAAACCTCCAGTTCTCAGGAGGGAGCTGATAGAAGAACAAGAGAATATACAAGGGAAAAAAATGCAAAGTCATACCTTTGGAGTGGATACTAATTTATTTCAGTCACTGTCTAGGATAAGCCATATGGGAAGCAAATGCTCATTCTTCAGGCAAGCAGAGAACACAGCAAGAGAGTGTGGGGGATTTCTGAGAGAATATTACTAAAAAAATAATAAATGGTGCAAAAAGCATACACTCCAAGGTACTCGAGTGCTGTCTGTCCAGCTTATGGAAAGAGGCTGGGTCCTCAAGGCCACTATGGGGTCTCGTGGATTTTTTATTACTGATAGAATAACCCATGGGCAAGTGCTCTTTGCAGATTTAATTTACAACATAGATAAACCAAGATAACAAAATTGATACATATCAAGATTCATAGGCATGTGTTCAAAATTTTCCAAAATGCAGCAATAACTATGAAGTAGATGGTTCCGAAAATGTCACTCACACCTACCACAAAAATGTATTCATATAAAATTTAGCTTGATTTGTGTCCAAATCTATAGCTACCTATATATTCAAGAGGATTTTTATAAAATCGTACGAATGGACTTACCTCTAATTAATGTAGAAGTGAAAATAATTATTCTTGGGTACTTAAGATTATTATAAACTGGTTTTGAAATTATGAAAGAGAATTTCTCAACATGTTGCTTAAAAATAATGATGAGAGGTTTGGTCTACCAAGTCATCAAACATTTAAACAGCTTTGTGATTTACATGTTTTACTCCTAAAAAGGAAAGAGAGAAAGGATTTACTGGGACAGAACCAAGGGGCAGAAATAGAGGTCAGTGTATAGATTTTATTGTATGCTCAAGAGGAAGGAGATACATTTTTCAATAAGTGGTCTAAGCTAACTTTTTAAAAATATAGGCTAAGAATGACCATATGAAAAAGGTTAACAACAATTAGGAAAAAAGCATACAAATAGATAATTACATAAAATTAAAAAATCAATAATTTTATATATTTAAAATATTTCATCTCAGAAGAATCCAAAATGCAATTTTAAACAATAAAACTATATTATCCTCATAATGTTAGAAATTGAACTTTAAAATTATCTGTAAAAACATTTTTATGTGCTCTTTAGAGAGATAACTAAAAGCGGAGTGTTTAAAAATTTTAAAAAAGGACAATTTTTTGAAATTGCCATGAATCTATTTTTAAAATACAGCTAGAGGTGATTTTAATATGTGGACAAAGGCAATAACCTACATATCAACACAATTTGATTGATTAACTAAATGTGCCACATCTATGGGTCGAAGAATCACGAAGCTAATAAAATTTTTGTTCCCCAAGGACATTTGCTGACATGGTAAGTATTTATGATTTAATATTATGTGAAGACACAAAAATTGAGCCATGCAAATAAACAGCAAAACTCCCTTTTGCGTTCATTCCTAACGGTACACTAGAGCAGGGCAGGAGCAAACCCTCCTGGGAAAGACCTCCACCAAATCGCTCCACCCCCGGAGTATCTGACCAGGGTTATGTGCCTTTCTCACTAATGATATGCCTTCAAAAGAGTATAAAAAACATTAGCTTCTTGGGGTGGGGTTAAAAATAAATTAGCTTGTTTTATAATTAACAAACAGAAATTATGTAAAGTAAAAACCATTTTGAAAAATCATTTTACTATACATATAGATGTGAAGCTCCATAAATTATATTGTTTTAGAATTACCAAGCAATCATCATGAAAATCAATTTAAGTCATTATTTTTTTTTCCGGTAATAGGCTCCTTGGGTTTTGTTAAATATTTGCATTACTATATCTCATTTTTCTGAAGACCCACCGTTTATTGTAAAGCTGATCCTCTCTAAAATGAAGTATCCATATGAGGGTGATTTGAGGCTTTCGCTCACAATTAGATCATCTCAGTTTGCATTATTTCCTTTTGCAATGTCTGCTCTTAGAAACAGCGGAAAATAATTCTTCTCCAAATGAATCAGAAGCGAAACTGCAAGTGTTCCAGAGTTGAATCTCTGGACGATGTATCTGGAGGAGCGATACATTTAGAAGGACTGTCATTTTATCTGAATAGGTCAGGCAGTAGAAATCATATGACATATGGCCCCTGGCCTTTAAAAGAGGACTGACCTCACCACCGATAGAAATTCTGCACATTTGCAAATATAAAATGTTGGTGTGCGCAGTACAAGATATTTATGCTGCTTCAAACTGTTGCACAGGGTTTGTGTCTCACAAACTCTGAGTGTTTCCTCGCTTCTGGAGCTGATGATTTCTTGGGCTGGCCCCTGATCGTTTCTCTTTCAATTCTTTCTCTTCAGTACTAAAGAATCCGGCCTAGTCTGCCATCGGGTATGCTTTCTCCCTTGCTCATTTGATTTTGAAGTATCCTGATTAATAAGATTTATGGGAGGGGGTTTGCAGCAGAGCTGTGGAGCTGCTTTATTTTACTGAAGTCATTGCAGCCTTGGGTTGTCTCTGCTCTTCCTCAGGAATTGAACTTTTTACCTCCGGACTCCACAAGCTCCTCAGACCCAGAAAGGCCACGCTGCGTGTTGTGTCTCTGCCTCCAACAACACAACGTTATTTTTATTTCCGACTCAGCCCAGTGAAATCTCCCGGGCAAGGCAGAGGCCTCAGGCTGAGGCTCACACACACACCTCGTGCATAATTTAAATGAAAACTGAAGAGAAAAAGGCCAGCGGCGGCCCCAAACTTGGAATGGCCAGGTGTTTTGTTTTGCATTGCTTTTAATTTTTCTGTCTCTTTCTACCTTTTGTTTGGAAGATGTTTTTCTGGCTTTTTCTAAATTGATGACCTAAAGCGTTGGTTGGTCATTTTGCAACAGGACAACCACATTCTTCGCCAAGGAAGCGCGGGGCCTGGTTACTGAGAAGCATCTAGTGAGGGGGTCTTAGGTGCGTCCCAGGGGGTCCCTGCTTTGTTCTGATCCCTGTTTGCACACATCTTGACCCCTGCTAAGGACCCACCTTTAAGAAAACGAAGAATGAAAATATTTACTGTTCCATGTGGACCCTTTACTGGGAAGGAACGTGATATATGGTCGCATTGACTTGCTGGTTTGATAATAAAAATCCTGACCTGTCATCTTTACCCCAAATATTTGTAAATGCTGTGCCTCTGGCATGATTTCCGTGGGTGCACAGAGCGATTCCAGAGCAAAGCAAGCTCCCTCCCGGGGGGCCGATGGAAGTGGGGGACAGTCTTATCAGCCCAACTGCCTTTTACCAAGCTCTTGTGTTTATTTGTCCGTTTCCAGTGCTTTTCATGGAATGGGTGATTTTTGAATTTGCTGATTTGCAGTCTTCCTTAGCATATGGTATTTTTAAGGCTATTTTGAAAACCTTTTGTAGCCATAGAGGGGACTATTTTCCCCATTTCTCTAGATGTGTACTTGGAAAAATAAAATTCCCTCAGAAAATGTACAGTATGCTTAATCCTAAATTAAAGTAGTTGCTGAAATGCTGTGACTTCACCCCGGGCATATGTGATTTCTAAAGAAACAAATTCAGCGTTTAATTAACTCTGAAATCCTCCTGCACATGGAGCTTATGTGTGTGTCAAGTTCAAGGCAGGATGCATTTGGAAGAGAACAGTGCTGGGGGGGGCGTCTGTCCAGTGGAAGCCAGGCTGCCTGTCTGAGACAGGCCGATTCACACTGGGGTACATGCTCCAAATTAGGAGTAGGGAGGTTCATCTGCAGTGCACAGATTAAAATGTTCACTAGACCTAA